TTTATTCCAGGAAGGCACTGGTAATTCAACAGAAAAAACTCAGCAAGTGTAGTACATCACATTGCTAGACCAGAGGGGAAAAGCCCATTTAATCATTACAACAGATGCAGAAAAAGCATTTAATGAAATCCAATACCCTTCTATGATAAAAAAAAAAAACAACCTCAATAAACTATGAGTAGAAAGAAACTTAAAAAAAGAAAGAAAGAAATTCCTCAACGTGATAAAGGACATCTATCAAAAACCCACAGGAGGGGCGCCTGGGTCGCTCAGTGGGTTAAGCCTCTGCCTTCGGCTCGGGTCATGGTCTCAGGGTCCTGGGATCGAGCCCCACATCGGGCTCCCTGCTTGGTGGGGAGCCTGCTTCCCCCTCTGCCTGCTGCTCTGCCTACTTGTGATCTCCCTTTCTCTCTCTCTGTCAAATAAATAAATAAATAAATAAAAATATTTTAAAAAACCCCACAGGAAACATTACACTCAATAGTGAGAGACTGAAAGCTTTTCTCCTAAGATCAAGAAAACGACAAGGACACCCACTTTTGCTGCTTCTCCTTGTCATGTGCTAGCTAGAACAATTAGTGAAGAAAAAGAAATAAAAGGTTTCCAAAATTGGAAAGGAAAAAATAAACTATTTCTAATTGCAGATGACATGATCTTATGCATAGAAAATCCAACAAAACAAAACCCTGGGGGCACCTGAGTGGCTCAGTGGGTTAAGCGTCTGCCTTCGGCTCAGGTCATGATCCCGGCGTCCTGGGATCGAGCCCCACTTCGGGCTCCTCGCTCAGCAGGGAGCCTGCTTCCCCCTCTGCCTCTGCTGCCGCTCTGTCTGCCTGTGCTCGCTCGCTCTGACAAAAAACAACAACAACCCTATTACAGCTAATAAATAAATTCAGAAGAGTTGCAGGGCGTGAAGTCGTCGTACAACAATCAGTTATATGTCTGTGCACTAATAAAGCACAATTCAAAAATGAAGTTAAGAAAATAATTCATTTGTAATAGCACCAAAAAGAATAAAATACTTAGAGGGCAACCCTCCAGGGTTCTTTCCCTCTTCTGGAACTTTGTACTGTCACTCAATAAACTTTACTATCGGTCAATAAATTTTTTGCTGCTCACAAAAGAAAAAAAAGGAATAAAATAGTCAGAAAAAAATTTCAGCGGGGCCCGTGGCTGGCACAGTTGGTTGAGATTCCCACTCTGGCTTTCAGCCCGGGTCGTGATCTCAGGGTCATGAGATCTGGCCCGATGTTGGGCTCCGCACTCCACTCACGCCACTCCGAATCGCCTTGGGGTTCTTTCTCCCTCTCCCTCTACCCCTCCCACTTGTGCGCGCGCTCGTTCTCTCTCTGTCTGTCTCTGTCTCTCTCTCAAATAAGTAAATCTTAAAAAAATAGAGAAGAAGAAATTTAACCAAGAAGATGAAAGACGTGCACACCGATAGGTATGAAACGTTGCTGGGGAGATTAAAGAAGACGACATTCATGGCGTAAAAGACTTCATAGTGTTAAGACGGCCTTTCTCAGCAAACCCATCTGTCGATTTGGTACCCTCCCTATCAAAACTCCCTTAGCTTCTTTTTTTTTAAGAAATAGAAAAGCCAATCCTAAATTCGTTTGGATGTGTATGAAAGGAACCATAAATAACCAAGACGATCTTGAAAAAGAAAAACAGTCGTAGGACTCAGCTTCTAATTTCAAAATTTGCTATAAAGCTACAGGAATCAAAACAGAATAGTACAGGCATGCGGTTAGACATAGATCAATGGAACAGAGTTTAGAATTCAGATATCAATACCATACATTTAAAATAAATTTGTTTTTTTAGGAAGATATTTATTTTATTTATTTTTAAAAAGATTTTATTTATTTATTTGACAGACAGAGATCACAAGTAGGCAGAGGCAGGCAGAGAGAGGAAGGGAAGCAGGCTCCCTGCTGAGCAGAGAGCCGGAAGTGGGACTCGATTCCAGGACCCTGGGATCATGACCTGAGCGGAAGACAGAGGCTTAACCCACTGAGCCACCCAGGTGCCCCTTTACATTCATTTTTAAAAATATTTTTTTGAGTTTTTATTTATTCATATAAGTAATCTTTACACCCAATGTGGGGTTCAAACTCATGACCCCAAGATCAAGAATCTAATGCCCTACTGAGCCACACAGGTGCCCCAAACTTTACACTCATTTAAAAATAATCAGTAGAATTTCATAAAGAGCAGTTTTATGTTTAAGAAAAATTGAGCAGTAAGTTCGGGCAAGAGGCACAGGCCCAGCCTTCCCCATTCCCACCACCCGCCCCGCCTCTACAGCGGAGTCCGCGGCCCGGGTCGCCTCCCCGCGCATCTCCCCTCCCGAGCCCGCCTCCGAGGCCCTCGCCGGCTGTGCGCCCAGAGCGGAAAGGGCGGCTCGGAGGCTTTGCACATGCTGTTCCCGCTGCAGCCTCGCCCGGATGTCCCTCCGCCCTCGGGGGCGCCCCTCCCCGACCCCCGCGGGCCCGCGCCCCGGCGCAGCGCTCTCCTCCCTGCCCAGCCAGCCAAGGGGCGCCGACGCGGCGGTGGGGGCGGGCGGCCAGCCCGGGCGACAGCTGGGTGGGCGGCTCTGACCTTCGGGTTCGATCGATGCCCCGCTCCCGGGCGCTATAAAGGGGCCGCGCGGGGCTCGGGCGGCCGCAGCAGCGCTCAGCACCCCGCGCGCCCACCATGGCCGTCGCGCCCCTGCTGCTGCTGCTGCTGCCGCCGCTACTCCGGGGCTCCGCCGCGCTCCCCGCGCCCCCCAGGTGAGGGACCCACGCCCGCTCCTCGAACCCCACCCCCCCAACCCCGGCCTGGCCCTGAAACGGCGCGCGCCCCCGCCCTCCGCCCCGCAGGGCCCCTCGGCACTCGGACGGGACGTTCACCAGCGAGCTCAGCCGCCTGCGGGAGAGCGCGCGGCTGCAGAGGCTGCTGCAGGGCCTGGTGGGCAAGCGCAGGTGAGGGGCTGCGGCGCTCCCCCGGCTGCGGGAGAACTGCGGGGCGTGGGCCCGGGCACCTCCGAGACTAATTCTACTTGGGATGGGGGGGCAGCGAGCAGGACCCGGAGAACAGCACGAGCTGGACCAAGTCGGCCGAGGGCCGCCTCTGCCTGCACTGGCTGGACACTCCCACCCTGCAGGCCTGGTGAGAACCCAGCCCGCTGTGCCCACCAGCTCCTGCCCCGCACCCTTCCTCTGCCCACCGCCCCCCCCACCAGGACCCTGGGTCTGGGGCAGGAACGGGGCGCGGCAGGGGGCCGACGTCTGGGAAGGGGAAACCGTGCTGGTGATCAGAGGAGGCGGGGTTCCCCCAGGGGCTGCGGTCTCCCGCCCCTGACCCGGCTGTCCCCGCAGGATGCACCTGAGGGACCCCCTGGATCAGACCTGGTCTCCCCAGTTGCCTCCTGGGTCCGGGTCTGGGGCCACCTTTGCAGAGCCAGCCATCCCCGCTGCGGAGGCGACCCGGAGCAGGCCCTGAGGAAGAAGGAGTCCCCGCTCTGGCAGCGGCACCGGGAGGGGCCAAGGGAGGGTGGGGAGGAGGAGGAGGGCTTGCACTTGTCGCCAATAAAGGAGGAATTCAGACACTGGCCCCGTGAGCTCACTCCGCCTCATCTCCCAGGTCAGGGCGGTCAGAATGCAGGAGGCCCCGACCGCAGCCTGTAGCCCGGTGACCGCACCCAGCCGCCCTTTAAACCTGGGAAGCCAGCGGGGCGCCTCTCCTCCCTTATCTCTCCTGTCCCAGGAGCTCCCCAGAGACCCACCTGCATCCCTGTCATCCACTCGGCAAACACTCAGGGGCTCTGGGTGCGCGGGTGGGGGGCACAGGACGTCTGTCCCGGAGGCCACGTGTCGGGCAGTGGAGCAGCTGGGGGTTGGGAGGGAGGGGGGCAAGGAGGCCCGGGCAGGAAGCGGTGGCAGAAGGGCCCCGGCGTCCGCTCCAGAGAGAGAGGACACCCACGCATGCCGCGGCTCCGGCTCCAGGTTCTGTGGTCTCTCGTGGCTTGACTGCTCTGAGCCTGACGAGTGCGGGGGGGGTCACGACACCCCGGGAGGAGCTGGGGCCTGCGGGAACCAGGCAGGCACCACCTGCAGGGGCCGGGAGCCTTGGAGGACAGCGGCCGGCAAAGCTAGAGAGCAGAAGGACCACAGCCCCCCACCCCGCGTCGTAGCAGCCCCTCCTTCCTGCTTCTCCCTCGCTGCCGCTGAGGCCTGGCCTGTGGGGGCAGGGCAGGGGGCGCCTTTGGGGGAAGGGCAGTTGGGGGCCTGGGCCAAGGAGCCTTGCCAGGAACTCCTCTGTCAAGCACCAGAACCCATGGGGACCCAGGTCCCCCCAGGAGCTCCTGGCAGCCTCCTGAAGCTCAGACGTCCCCATTTCTGCCCACCCCACCCCCTTGGAGGGGATGGCTGGTTTCCAGGACAAGCAGGGGTGACCCCAGGGCACAAACAGCCTTTTCCTTCCAGACCTAGATGGTTGGTGCGGGGGTAGGGGGAGGAGGTGGACCTGGAGGGAGCACCTGGGGCCTGAACCTTGCTCCAAGATGATTCTGGAAGAAGAGGCCAGCAGAGGGGCTGCCAGGATGGGGGGTAGGGGTGGGTACAGCCAACACAGAAGCCTCGGCTGAGCCTCTGCCCCTGCCCCCCAGCTCCCTGCCCCAGCTTCTGCCCACCCAGCCACACCCCCCAGCCCCCTCCGCAGGCCCAGGGTATCCTGAGCACCTTCTGCGTCCTGCCCTGGTGTTTGAGAGCTGAGTCCCCTTGGTCCCCCATATGTGGCCCGGCTCTGTTGGGGAACCCCTAGCTCGCCCCCTCCCCACAGTAGGGTAGGCCTGGCCTGGCGGCCTGCGGGAGCCCCCTTGGAGGAGGCTGTTGGCTTGTAAAGGATCATAACATGGGGCGGTGCCTGGCAGGGGCGAAGGTCGCCCAGGCTGAGCCGCCACCAGCAGCGCCAGCCAGCTGCTCAGAGGGTCTGGCCAGGGGACGGCTGGCAAGATGGGGGCTTGGGCCCTGCTGCTGTCACTGCTCATGGCTACGGCCCAGGCCCAGGGTACCTGCGGGGCGGGGGCGGGGGCTGGGCGGTGGGCAGGCCCCAGGAGGGCACTGACTCTTCCTCTCCAACTTTCCAGTCTGCTCTGTGGACGACACCATCTTCGAAGTCGCAGAGAACACTAACCGGCCCGGGCCCCTGGCTGACATCTCTGTCCCCGCGGGCCAGCAGGTGACCCTCGGACCGTCGTCCACCCCCGACGCCTTTCGGATCCAGGGGACTCAGCTCTTTCTCAATGTGACCCCCGACTATGAGGTGCAGACGGCAGGCCAGGCGGGGGCGGCGGGAGGGCTCACCCTCCACAGGACCCAAGCAGCTGCCCGCACCCCTCCCCAGACAAGGCGTCCCAGGCGGCCTGAGGCTTCTGCACCCCCCAGGCAATGACTGGCCCTTCTTGGGGCCCCAAGGCGGGTAGGGTTGTTGGGGGCTCCAGCTGCCTGGGCCCCCGATGCCCTCCGGACTTAGCAGGGCTTCTGGGGACCCTCCCCACCTGTCTCCTCACTTGTGACGGAGGGCCAGCACGCTGTGGTCAGCTGGGCAGGTGACCCTGACCCCCGTCTGCCCCTTCAGGAGAACACGATGCTGGAGGCGCACCTGGAGTGCAGAAGTGGCGACACCGTGGTGAGTACCCCTAACCGCACCCCCGCTCCTGTGTGGCTGCCCCCAGCCTGTGACATCAGAGCACTCCAGGCCCCAGCCTCTCCACTCTGCTCAGCTTGGTTGAGGGCCACTCCCTGGTGACCTCACCCTGTGGTATGCTGGCGCCCACACTTCCTCCCGCCCAGACTCTGCCCTGAGATGCAGACCCCAGCAGAGACCCCCAACCCAGAAGGCACTTCACCCTGCTGGGTCCCTCACCCCCCACTGACCCCCCATGTCTCTCTGTCAGCAAGGCTGTGGGCTCTGCCTCAGGCTGGACTCCACATCAATCAGAGCCTTGGCCACCAGCATCTCCTTTCTGGAAACTTCCAACGGTCAGCTGGTCCGCTTGCTCCCCTCTTGGCCCTGGCCAGTCCACTCTCAGTGTGGCCAAACGCTCTGATCAAGCAAGTGGACAGCCCGGCTGCTTTCTCCCTTGGAGCTGAGGCCGCACGGACCGTGTGGGGTGCAGGCTGGGTGCGTGGACCCCGACCCCAGTCCAGCCAGCCTCGAGCCCTCTCCCCAGATGGGCACCTGCCTCCCTCTCCCACCGTCTCGCGTCTTCACTCCAAGCTCACCTTCCCAGAGAGGCACTGACCGCCCTGTTTTAAGCTACAAGCCCCGTGCCCACGCACCTGCCGGTTGGACTGGACCCACGGCCCACGGGCTCCAGTGCTCCAGTGCCTGGAGGTGTCCTGGCGCAGACAGCACGCACACCACCACGACACCTCAGCACGGGACTCCGGAAGACAAGGCCTTCTGACACAGCCACAGTGCCTCGGCCTCCGGGAAAAGGGCTCCTCAGCATCATGTCACACCTGACGCCCTCCCATTCCCACAGTCACAGAGACCCCAGCAAAGCCCACCTACTGAGACTGGCAGCTACTCCTCCTGAGGGCCTCCCTCCCTCTCCCTCCTCCTCCCTTCTTCCTTTCTAGGTTGATGGATTCTTTAAGTCATCTCTACCCGCAACGTGGGCTTGAGCTCACAACCTGAGATCGAGAGTCAACTTCTCCTCCCACTGAGCCAGCGGGGCACCCCTCTTAAGCCTCTCTTTTTTTTTTTTTTTTAAGATTTTTAAAATTTATTTGACAGAGACCACAAGTAGGCAGAGAGGCGGGCAGAGACAGAGGGGGAAGCAGGCTCCCCACTGAGCAGAGAGCGATGCGGGGCTCGATCCTAGGACCCTGAGATCATGACCGGAGCCGAAGGCAGAGGCTTAACCCACCGAGTCACCCAGGCGCCCCCTCTTAAGTCTCTTTCAATCTATGGGTTCTCCTCCTCTCTTCCTTTTTCTTGAGAATAGTTTCTTGAGAATTATTTCTGAAGGAACTCGGGTGTTCTCCCACTGTTCTCATTAGGGACTTTGCTGGGCACCCCCCACCCTGCCCAGCACCGGTGCTGCTCTCCTCCGGGGCGGTGGCCACCTCGTGAGCTGCGGGGCTGCGTCTGTGGTCTGTCCACAATCCTCGCGGAGCAGGAGCCCAGGACCTGCTGCGCAGCACGGCTGACTCCGCCTGTCCCGCAGGTGACGCAGCTCAGAGTCTTTGTGTTTGTGCTGGACGTCAACGACAACCCGCCCGAGTTTCCCTTTCGAGCCAAGGTAGAGAATGTGTCTGAGGTGAGCGAGAGGGGCCGGGGGCTTGACCACGGGGCTCAAGGGTACAGCCAGGCCACTCACTCGCTCTGCTTCCCCCAGGACGCTAAAGTGAGCACCATTGTCATCCCCGCGACGGGACTGGAGGCCCAGGATCGCGACCAGGACGACATCTTGTTCTATACCCTCCAGGAGGTGACCCCGGTCAGTGTCCCCCCAAACCCTCCCTCTGTGTCCTCCTGGGCTCCGAGACTGAGTCCCGTCCCCTGCCTCCCCAGGGCGCCGGCAGCTTCTTCTCCCTGGTGGGCACCAACCTGCCTGCCCTGCGGCTGGACCGGCGCCTGGACTTCGAAGCGCAGCAGAGCATGAACTTCCGGCTGCTGGTGCGGGTAAGCAGGCAGGGGCTCAGGTCCCCCCCCGAGCCGCCCCCAGCCCGGGACCCCCGGGCCTGATCTAGTCGGCTCTGCTGCCGCAGGACACGCGGGAGGAGAACGCAGAGCCCAGCCACACGGCCACGGCCACCTTGACCCTGGAGGTGCAGCCTGCTGACCTTCGGCCCCCCTGGTTCCTGCCCTGTGCCTACTCAGACCACCACGTCTGCATCAACGCTGAGTACCATGGTGCTGTCCCCACAGGACACCAGCTGGTACGGGGGGCAGGGAGGGCAGGAGGGACATAGGGGGCAGGGCTCGGGTGTCAGGGGGCCACATTTGGTTGCGATTTTCATGTGAACGTTCTTCAGAAGCCAATCCCACCCAACCACGGGGTGGCGAGCGGTGACAGAGCCCCTGAGCGTAGAGGGAGGCGCGTGGCCCGGTGGTCTCCGGGCAGGGCCGGGCAGCGCCTTGGGGACCCAGTCCCTTGGGCTGGGAGGGCTGCAGCGTGAGGGGCCTCGGTGGTGCTCCAGGCTGCCTCTCTGACCCGCTGACGTCCTTGCTCTGGCCCAAGAGGCCCACGGAGACGCCGGAGCACAGTGGAGCGTCCTGAGCACCTGACTCCGACTCCCCATGACTTCTGCCTGTCCCGCGTGCGTGCCCGCTCTGGAAACGCCCGTTGTTCCATCAGTCGGGTGTCTTTGACTGTTCCATCAGTCAAGTCAGTAGCAGCGGAGCCGGGGGCCTGAAGGGCCCTTGCAGAGAGACGACTTTCCTCTTAAGGGAAGTCGGACGGTCAGCTGGGCCCGACACCCCAGCCCCACGGTGTCTCCTCCTGTCCCTGTCCCTGCAGCCAGGCCCCCTCGTGCTCCGTCCTGGACCCATCTACGCTGTGGACGGGGATCAGGGCATCAACCAACATATCCTCTACAGCATTGTGCGGGGTGAGTGCGGGCCGCACCCCTATTTCCCTCTGTGTCCTGCACCCCACCCCACCCTGGGCTGCGGGGGCTCCGGGGGACTTGGGCAGAGCCCGTGGGACCCTTGCCCTCAGGCCGCTGGAGGGGGCAGGAGGCCAAGCTTTCCTACCACCCTCGCAGGACAAGAAGATGGCACGTTTGCCATTGGCGCTGACTCGGGCAAACTCACCATGACCAGAGGTGTCCCCAGCCCAAAGACCTTCACTCTGGTGGTCAAGGTGGGTGCCCTGGCCAGGCCTCCATGGCCTTCCTGAGCCTCAGGCTGCAAGACTTGCCCTCGAGGACCCGCTGGTCGCTGAGGCCTCCCCTCCCCCCAGGGTGAGCAGGCAGACGGCGCCCGCTACTCGGTGACCTGGGTCAAGATCGAGGCTCGAAATGCCGCTGGGAGCCCGCCCTACTTCACCAAGAGCCGCTACCACGGCATGGTGGCGCGCGGCTCTGAAGGAGGCGTGGAGGTCAAGGATGCAACCGCCCCCTCCCTGCCTCTGAGGGTCTGGGCCCAGGACCCTGACTTTCCGGTAGGCGCCGGCCCCGCCGCGGGTGGGCTGGGGGGGTCACAGGGGCAGCCTGGGCCCGGGACTCACTGGGCCGCGTTTAGGACCTCAACTCTGCCATCGCGTACCGCGTCACCAATAACACTGACTTCCGGATGGATGGCGAGACCCTGCTGACCGCCTCTCTGTTGGCCCACGAGGGGGTCTTCTATGCAGAGGTGAGGGCAGGGGGCATCTCCAAGGGGCAGGGGCTAAGGCGGGGCCTGCGAGGGACAAGCCCCCTTTCTGCTCCAGGTTGAGGCCAACAACACAGTGTCGGCGGGTACAGCCCGCACGGTGGTGGAGATCCAGGTGCTGGAGTGGGAGGAGCCCAGCCCCCCAACAGGTGAGCCGGACGCGGACCCCCTAGGCAGCAGCTCAGGGAGGGCCTCTTGCCTCAGTTGGGCTGGTGGCTTCTCCAGGGCAGGCATGCTGGGGGCAGAGCTGAGCCCGAATCCTGTCCCTCATCCCCAGGCCCCCCAGCGACCCCCACATCCCCAGAGACTGGAAAAACAAGCCGGCCCCCCAGCGGTGCCACTTCGGAAGCCCCCAGACCCCCGGGGCCCTCTCAGGGACCCTCTGCGACCAGCTCTGCGACCCCGGGGCCCTCTCAGGGACCCTCTGCGACCAGCTCTGCGACCCCGGGGCCCCCTCAGGGCCCGCCCCCCCCTTCAAGCACAATTCTGAGGCCACCTGCCTCATCTACGCCTG